TTTGGGAATATTCAACCTATATAAACAAAATATAGCTGGTGTGCAATCCATCTGGATTCTTGTAAACTTCCTACTCAACACTCTTCCTCTCAACTGCTATCACCCAATGAATCACCCAACACTGCGGAGACATAACAGCATGGAGGTAATACTTGAAAAACGAACCTGGCACCAGCTGTCACATGGTGAGCTACATAGATTTAGTTTCACAAGTCCATAGCACAGTAAATTAAATTTTCTGAAAATTCATGAGGGCAAGACCACCTATCTAAAACATAGGAATCAGAACAAAGTGCCTGTATATAAGTAAAAGAGTGTCACGGGGGGAAAAAGGGAAAAGTCTGAGATACCCCAATAATAACAGCTATTGTCCCAGTTTGCTTTTCCATGGGCCAGCTTTTTATGAATCCTCACAAAATCATCACAAGTCTATGCAACAGTAGTTTGGGGCCTACGTGACATGTAACAAAGGGACACTGAGAAGTTTAATGTCATCAACTAGGAAGAGGTAGAGTAAGAATCTTAGAGGATATAGTCAACAGTCTCTGCTCCTGAATATTAAATAGAGAAGATGAGATTAATAGGTCCCCCATGGGCAAGCAACTTAGATTTTAGATCATAGAGTGGACCATACATGTGATAGAGAGGTTTTTACATGTAAAGAGAATGCCTACTCATGAATAATGATTTCAATCATTCTTTAAATTTTTTTGTGTATATATAAAAATATATTTTACTGAATATGAAGAAAAATGGTAAGCAGTGGTTTAACATCTAAGACTATAGTATTTAATGCTATTTACCTTCTACAAGTTTCTGAAAATCTTTTTTTACCTGTCACTTCAAGAATGAGGTAAACTGTCTCATGCTGCTCACAATTTCTTAAATCCATGAAGATTCATCATGATGAATTTGTGGCAATCGTTTTTATAAACAAGAAACTGACATTGTACCACAAAACCTCTCCCAGGGACTTAAACTTCAGTCAGCAAAGTCCTGCAGCCGAAGTCATGTACACATACTTGGGAAATCGGGACAGATGAAGTACACATGGGACAGAGGGCCCTCTGCTAGGATCCTTCCCACACTGTGCCATCCATTTTTAAAAATATATAATTCTCAAATTCTATTCTATGAGGTAGATGAATCTTCTTACACTTCTAATAGAATTACAAAAGCAATTGTGTAATTGCTCGTACTTATTGGGGTCTTAAGAACTAGAATAATGACAAACTCACTGCATCTTTCAGAGACTGTGGAATATTAAAGTGTTATATTCAAAGATAAAGAAGAACAAAGCCAAATTTTCAGCTAAAAATTTAAAAACCACTACTTTCTTATATTGCCAGAGGGAGCTGATGCCACACAAATGTTTTTAAAAGCTACTTGTCAAAAATGTATCCTGTCTACTTGTTTTTACTCAGTAACCAACTTGTAGGGGTTTCTCCTCAAGGAATCATTTGAGATATGGTAACGACCTAGGTAGAACACTCTAACGCAACATTTGCTATAGTTGGAAATGGACACCATGAGAAAAAGAAGGACAAAGATTACAGTTTATTAATGTGATGAGATTGAAGTGAAGTTCACAAGGAGTTGGTAATGAGATGGAAACAAAACAAAAGCAATTATTACACAGAAAACACAGTCTGTGAATTAAAAGAAGTTTGGGATTTGATTATCAAAAGTCCAGAGAAATACAGGAACACAGTCATATGAGTATTTGATACCATGATAAGAAAGTAGTAAAAGAACAGGAAGAATATTTCAGATACACGGCAGCGATCTGGTTTTGGTGATGGATGATGGGCTGCACTTCACATCTTCATCTGAGAAGCCTGAAGCATTCAACATTAACAGTTATCATACCAGAGAGGAATGGAAGCCAAACCAGAAAAACAAATGGCTTGGAGGGATAGGAAGGGGCATCACTCAGGGGCACAGCAGTGCCTAGACAGCTTACTGTAAAGCATGATGACAATTTCTTCCTGAACTGATTTTCAGTCTTGAAAGTGAGGGTTTAGGAAACAAAAGGACTCAGAATTTTCTCAGATTTTCCAATTTCTACAGAACTATGATTATTTCCCAAGCCAGATGTGTCACAGCACAAGCCTCCTAACCCAATCAGGCCAGGCAGCCACCCACAATTACCTTAGGAATCCCACCAAGGCCATATACTGAGTCAGAAATGAAAGAACTCCCTGATATACACAGAAATAGGTTAATAATCTCATGAAACTCTCCCTCTCTCTCTCTCTCTCTCTCTCTCTCTCT